TTTGTACCGACTTTGGTAATATCCTACAGAGAACCTTGTCGAGTGAAAGTACAGCGTTAGAATGAAATAGGTATATGTTGGAAAGAGATAGCTTATAGTTCACAGTACTGTTTATTTGTTGTTGATTTTATGTCTGCAGTTTTGGTTTTTACCTCGATAAATATATTTTGGGAATTGAATAACTTCATTCCCCCTAGTCCTTTCCATCATCGAACCACAAGACAATCGGCGAAGCGTCACCGATTTCATGGTAGATGTTCCACCCACACGCACGAAACGCTTCGCATCAAGCTTCTTTGAGCGTGCTGCTAAGGAGTGGAATTCTTTGCCAGACTCTGTATTTCCTGAAGGGTATATATAACCTGGGTGTCTTCAAGGCCCGAGTGAATAGGTTGCTTATGGGACGATGTGCTCCATCGTAGACCGCATCATCGCTTACCACCAGGCGAGATAGTGGTCAAACGTCGGCCCATCAAAATGAAATCAAGGTCTTTTGCAGTAGAAATTCCTTATTTCTTGTATATTTATCCTCTCTCAACATTACGTTCCCCTAACGCGTTATATGTTACATAAGCTCATATCATAATGGTATAACTGTCCACAAAATTGTGAATTAGGTACCTATTAAGGTTTTAATGAATAATTTTGTATGGAACTTATGGCACCGACTTCTTACCTATCAGTGGGTGGGTAACCTATCAGTACTAATAATAGTTATTTTTTGCTTTTTAGTTTAGGCTTTTTGTTTGTTATTAGTTTTTGGTTTTTTGAAGTCGGTTTTTTAAACGCAGTTTTTATTTTATTATTTAAACTGTCAAACACCAAGCGGTCACCGGTGACCGCGACCTATTGTTCTTTAATTGTGTCTATAAAACCGGTACTCGACGAGTTAAAACCCAATAATACTTTGCCTGACCCGGGAATCGAACCCGAGACCCCTTGCCCGGCAGTCGTACTTGCGACCACTTGGCCAACGAGGCAGAGGCAGTAAGGTGAACATAGTCTGCATGTAATTAACTGGATACCAATTAAACTGAGGGCCTAGCACGAATAACTATCGCATTCGTATCGTAACAGTATCGAGCGAGTTAAGCGTTCTGATTGGTTGGTTCACTTGACCGGCCAATCAGAGCGCCGAACGCGTTCGATAATATTACGTTACGAATGCGATAGTTATTCGTGCTAGGCACTCTGAACTAGTCAAAGCCACGGTGTTGCTACAAACCCTATCAATACAATTTAGTAATTTAACGCCATCTGTTGAGCAATCCTTTATAGCGTCAATCATTCAACAAGTGACATGGTTTAATTTCCGATATGTCGCGCTTTTTATTACTGTGCTTTTAGTCAAATTGACGAAAACAAATACCAAGGCACACCCATGTAGGTATTGATTAATTGAATTAACAATTTTACAACGTAGATATTTGAAGCGCTGTCTGTTCTGTGGTGTTATCTTTGCATTTATAAAAACTCAATTATGTTGATAACGTTCCGTTATCGGTGAAAAACAATGCATTCTACTTTTATAAGATTTTTCTGTCGTAAACACTATTTTTTAGAGTGGGAAAATTTATCAAATAGCTTCTCCCGCCTTGGGTGAGGCGAGTGTCCGACTCTTTCTTACTAAAAATGCGACGTTTTAACTATTTTTTTTATGGTATAAGGTGGTAAACGAGCACAGACGGATCACCTGATTGTAAGCAATCGTCGCCGCCCATGGACACCTGAAACACCGAGGCGTTTCAAGTGCGTTACCGGCTTTTTGGGAATTTGAGGATTGTGGAGGATTCGGGAATTGAGGAGACTGGGGGGGGGGTGCGTAAATGGGCCTCCGGCCTCCTCCACTCACACGACGGAACACAACCTAAACGTTGCTTCACGCCGGTTTTCTGTGAGGCCGTGGTATCACTCCGGTCGAGCCAGCCCATGCGTGCCGAAGCATGGCTCTCCCATACTTCAAAAATTTAACCGACTTCAATCAAAGGAGTGTCTTAGTATGACCTGTGTGTGTGTGTATGTATGTGTGTGCGGGATTATCTCGCGATTGGCTCAACCGATTTTAATGCAGTTTTCAGTAATGTGTTTGTTGCACTTAGGAGAAGTTTTAGTAAATATACTTTCCTGAAGTCAGTTAATTTATTAATCGTAGTCGGTTTTTTTAAACGCAGCTTATAAAAGAAATATTTTCTATATTATGTTTTACCAGTGTGAAATTGCCTACCCACATTGAGCAAGCGTGGTGATTAATGCTCAAACCTTCTCCATGCGAGCAGAGGCCTTTGGTCACCAGTGCCCACTTATACACTGTTAATGTCACGGAGAACCTAACGAGTTACCGGGGCTCCGGCTCGACGTGCAGGAGTAGGAACGGGATGGTTTTTAGTCAGTAAGAGTCTGACACTTCCTCCCGCCTCACCCAGGCGGGAGCAGTCATTCGATGATTTCCCCCCTTAAAAAACTCTTGCCATCCACAACCCCGGTGTTAATTAGTTACTTGTCGATTGATTTGGCTATTAAAGTTGTTTTGACACATTTTCTATGGAGCTTATGTCAAATTTCTATCACCTACTGTCAGAATTCTAACACTGAATGTTACACGTGTTCTAATACAATTACGCAGTTAGTAATTAACTAAATAGCTCCATTATTAGTTTATCTAAGTACCTTATTTATAAGTCTCATCACTTTAGTAATATATCGCATATGAATAGGACTGCAAACGTCGCCCGGTACAGTTTTGCATCACCAGTGTAACTTGACTGCGGTGGTTTGAGGAACTAATTCCAAATGTATTGAGTTTGACGTTTGTTGTTTGCGAGTGGCGCCATTGTAATGGGTCCGGGTATGTTGGTTTTTGAATTTTATTAAATTAGTTCGTTTCAGTGGTTTGTGGGTAGTTTAATTTGTTTTGTTTTAAGTTTCATTATTGAATCAGAAGTATTGGAAGGTAAAATAATTTACCATATACTTTTCTTTATTTTCAAGGTGTCACTTCTCAACTGTAGGTACCTACTTCTAATACAAGTTAAAAAAAATATTTCTTTATTGCAACTTTGTCCATTTTTATACACCAACCAGCAAACCAAGCGAACTCCGTTTCGCCACCAGATGGCTTCGTTTTATAGAGGTATAGCATTTCGTTTAGTGATTAAAAGTGAATTTTCTTTACTATAAACCTCACGGAGCCCGAGATCTTTACAATGAATACTACACCGTGGAAATCGGTTTGTGCGTTCTGGAGTTATAGCGCCAGGAAGGAAAACTCGACTTATTTTTATATAGTAGAAGATAAAGATAGCTCAGTGACTTTTTGCGATCACAGCGCCAAAACCTAGTTTAGTATCATAGTATTTATCAAAACCCAAGAAGATTTAACAGATTACCGGAGCTCCGGCTTTACGCAGGAGTAAAAACGTCGTGGTGTTTAGTCAGTAAGAGTCTGACACTCTCTTCCGCCTCACCAAAGGTGGGAGATGTTATTACATGGTTTTGCCTCCTTGAAAAAGTATAATAATACCTTTTTGTGTGTAAATGCCTTATTTGTAAATTAATAATTATGTTGAATACGTATCACACATTGATTACATTATTGATTGATTATTCCTTAATTGTTATGTTCACCGATAGTGTGAAGAAAATAATGTAATCCGCACGTCTTTAGACATGTCCTCATTTAAGATTAGGCGAAAAACGGTCGACCTTATTTGCTCAGTGCTGTTTTGTAGTCTATTTACAAGAAATTACAATTGTTTAGAAATAGAATTCGTCCCCGTATTATTCATTTGACATCTCCGCTCAGAAAATTTGCGTTCCTTAGATGTCGCCACTGCAAAGTTAGATCCTGTCAGTGTTACTGTCAAAAGTTCCCATAAGATTCCCTGATATTAAACAAATTGACTATTCACTATTGCTGTAATTTCTCTGAGATTATCCCCTACCGGTGTTTTTATTTCAATTAAAAAATACGTTGCCCTACCGTCGTGTTTTCTCATGTGTCGTGAGTGCGTTTATAAAATTATACAATTACATATACACGTTACACTCACTAGTATCATGGTGGCCCGGAGGTTTAAAACACCCCCTTCTCATGAATGAGGGTGCGGGTCCGAAACCTACCAACGGCAAGTACCAATGTGACTTTTTCCGAGTTATATGAGCTTTCTAAGATTGACAGACCAGTGACAAACGGTGAAGGAAACCATCGTGAGGAAACCTGTACTTATAATTTCTAATTGTAAGTTTGAAATCGCCAACCCGCAAAGAGCAAGTGTGATGATTAATGCTCAAACCTTTTCCGTGTGAGAAGAGGCTTTGCTTAGCAGTGGACATTATAGGCTGTTGATTACCGGTGTTACACACAAACCCAGAACGACAATTTATGGGTCACACACAGTATTGTCCTATACAGGAATCAAGCATGCGATACTACGCAAGCGCATTGTAAAGTGCGCACGGAACTTTGCGCACGAGTTGATTACTTTAGAAGTGGGAGGGGCGTATAAGCACGTTTTTGATATAACGATTATAAGGCGCTTATTTTTTTAATACACAGTTGTTATTGATGCTTCGTACGATGCGATAGTATCTGTGTGATTGTTATCATATAATTAACGTAGTATTTTATTATTTAATTTTCATTCAGTGTTTGCATATTTTTGATTATGATCTTTTTGGTATAGTGAATTGAAGTGGTTTTTGTATGATTTCTATCTAATGTCTGTTTTGGTTTTGTTTGAAAGTGAATTAAGCTGTTGTGATGTTAAAATTGACATTTGTTTGTAGTAGTTATAAAAAGTAATAGTTATGAATTTAAATAACGCTTTTTATTTTAAGTTGAATTTAAGAAAAAAATAACGACCGTTTCTGTCAAGTTTGACAGTTCGAATTTCGAATAGAGAACACAAACGCATCTATATATTATCTGTGTTATATAGTGATAGTGTTGTGTGAGTGAAGCAGTGATATATTTTAGTTGTAAGTGAGAAAGAGACGGCACCATGTCTCGAGGAATCAAATATCAGCGGCTGGATGACCTGGAGATTGGGTAAGATTTTTCTTTTCGTCTTATTTTGAATTTTATACAAAGAAGAATGTAATATACCTAATATAATGTTTTTTTTTATTATTTAGTATTTTTGAGGTGTGAAGAACTACTATGTATTACCTTACCTAATCCCTATTTTTAGGTACAGGCAACCTAATTTTCATGTTTTTTTTTGTCCTATTTAGCAGAAAAATATGAAAAGGGTCTAGAAAATTTTGAAAATATCCTTTTTGATTTTTCCCTCTTGTTTTAATTTCTATTTTGAGACTTAAAACAATATATTTGCCAGGACTATAAATCAATAATGTATATTTGCTAGTCGGTAACTGTCAAAACAGTGAACAGTGCATAATTTAGCGACAAACAAACATTGCTACTTTTTACACACATTTTAATCTACACGTATAAACGATAATCGGTTAACATACACCTAAAGCATACGTCAATAAGGACGATTTTCGTAAATCACGTCTTACCGTCGTCATGCTTGACTGCAAAATAACCTTTGCTTATCTAAATTGTTCCAAATACGCGAATAATTCTTTCATGAAAACAATATTATTTTTATATAATTTCAATAGGCCATTGATAAAGGCCAAATTCCAATTTGCGTGGTATTAAGTCCTTAATTACAAACGTAATTATAATGTGTTTTCAAAGAATATTGTCGATGAGAGTATACGGTTGAGTGGCGCCACTGTCGCTTTTGGGTGACCACGTTTTTTCATTTGGTAAGCCGGTAAACGAGCAGATGGATCACCTGATAAGCAATCGACGCTACCCGTGGACACCTGGAACACCAGAGGTGTTACAAATGTGTTACCGGACTTTTGGGATTAGGAATTTGAGGATTGTTGGGATTCTGCTCTCAACCAATCCAATAAAAATACAGATGCTAATAAGTTACCGCGATGCGTAACAATGCGGGAAGATATTATGTGTTAAACTGGCTTCTGCCCGCGACTTCGTACGCGCAATTCCGTTTTCTCCCTTTCCCGTGGGATTTACAATAAGTCTTCGCCTGACAATAACAAACACAACAAAAAAAATCAACTTTATCGGTCTAGCCGTTCTCAAGTTATAGCGTGACATATATAGATCATAGTTTTTTTAACAAACACCCAGACACATCTGTACACCTTTGCCTACCTCTTCGTAGAATTAAAGATTCAATGTCTATGTGTACTTGATAAATAAATATTTACTTTACCTTAAAAAAAAATATGTACATGTATGTATGTACTGCCTATATCAGATATCTCACGTCAATTTCACGTATTTACTCTACTAGATAAAATGTATTGAATTATTGATACGGCTGATAACATTAGTTCGTGAAACGAGACTGATGTTATCAATAGCTTACATAACATCACGCCGTTTATCCCCGGAGGGATAAGCAGAGGTGCACACGCCACTGTACAATGTAACACCCACTTTTCACTATTTATGTTATGAGTCCCATGTAATAGGGGGTGAGCGTATTGCCATATATTGGACACAATTTCAGACTCCGTGCTACTACTGAGAATTATTAAAAAAAACGCAATTATACTTTTCCCGATTCCGAACCCGAGACCACTTGCGACCACTCGGCCAAAGAGGCAGACAATGTTGTAATTAAATTCATTACGCATTATGGTGTTTATGGTGGAGCAAGGGATCCCGACCCGGGAATCGAACCCGAGACCCCTTGCCCGGCAGTTGCACTTGCGACCACTCGGCCAACGAGGCAGTCAATAGAAAATCTCAATTTTAGGCTTTTATAACTATCTGTTCTGTCTGCGGTTGCTCTCGTGTTTAATCTTTCATCTTATACTTATTATATAAAGCTGAAGAGTTTGTTTGTTTGTTTGTTTGTTTGTTTGAACGCGCTAATCTCCGGAACTACTGGTCCGATTTCAATAATTCTTTTTGTGTTGGATAGTGCATTTATCGAGGAAGGTTATAGGCTACAAAACATCACGCTACGGTAAATAGGAGCCGAGCAGAGCGGGTGCAACCGCGCGGGAGTACCTATTGTTTAACTGAAACTCGTGGGGTTTTTTTATCTTAATTTATTTACAGGGTTTTTTCTTAATTGGGTTACTCACGTGAATATACTGAGAAAAGCTCTACTAGTTTCGTTCTACTACTCTACCACCCATTTCAGATTTCCCACTTAAAATTCGAATCTCTCACTACACACGTTCTTTATCCGACTGCCAGTCCTGACTTTTTATAAAGCAATAAATAAAATACCCTTATTGTCACCCCATCTTTAAATATGTAGGTCAGACAGTCCAATATATTCCAGCAATCCGAAGATTCCTAAAGCTATAATGAAAAATTCCTCATTCATACTTACGCGTAGGAGTCTCTTTAGCTATGTTCGCACAGCGAAGTAAAATTCGCGCGGTTTTGTTTCCACACCGGATCCCTTCAAAGCATAAAATCGCAGTTTTTTATCGCCTATATGGATCATCAACAGCCTATAAATGCCCACTGCTGAGCAAAGCCTCTTCTCACACGGAGAAGGTTTGAGCATTAATCACCACGCTTGCTCAGTGCGGGTTGGCGATTACAAACTTATAATTAGAAATTATAAGCCCAGGTTTACTCACGATGTTTTACTTCACCGTTTGTCAGTGGTGTCTAAATAATCTTAGAAAGTACATATAACTTGGAAAAAGTCACATTGGTACTTGCCGTTGGTAGGTTTCGAACCCGCATTCGCATGCATGAGAAGCCAGCGTCTTAAACCTCCGGGCCACCACGACATTTGGATATGGATATGGATTCTATAGAAATTAATGTGTTCTTTCTCTGGTCGTTGCTCATGACCTGAGGGGCGTAATCATCCTGGCTTCACCCTGGATCGGACGATAGGGATGATGACGGTTTATGAAAATTAAAAATCTAATTAGTCCGTCAGTTAGGTAATGAAAAAATATTAGACACGTATGATTTATTTTGTCCTGTAAAACAATATTTAGATAAAACGTATCAAAGCTTAGGAGTGGGGGCTAAAATGTCATTTCTTCGTATAAAATGTACATAGAAGTGACGTCACGCGACATATTAAATCAATATATAGTCGAAACAATTTGTTTGCGTAAGAAAATAAAAAATACGTGTGTAATGTTTTTAAATAATCTACCAGACGGACATTAAAATAAAAATATCTACCCTATTGTCTTTATCTGCCCACTGTGGTAATTACATCTGTTACAGAAATCGAAATAAAATTAAATTCTAGTAATAGAATTGCGAAAAGGACCACCCGGTGACGCGGTTTTATATCGCTGTGCGAACACGCTCTGCCACTTCTAAATCGTGACGTCATGACAGCCCACGCGCTTGCAATGTGCTTACATATCGATTTACTTTTGACATTCTGACTTTGTGTTGTGACGTCATCGAGTGGGTTGAGGGTGTATGACCTTTCATAATGAAGTTCATGTAGTGTATATGTTGGATAGTTTTGAAGACGTTGTGGCTTTGTACCCAGTTTCTGTCGCGATACCCGGGTCGTTTATACGGTTTTTGTGTATTGTCAGTAATTTGCGCTTTGTGTTAATTCGCCCTTAATTACTAGGGGTAAAGTAAAGCTTTTATTTTAAGGGGGTAGTTTTATAAATTTTGTTTTAATGTCCGTCTGGTAGATTATTTTAAAACATTAGACACGTATTTTTTATTTTCACACAAAATTAAATACTTTGACGATATATTGATTTGAAATGTCGTGTGACGTGAAAATGTAGCACGCTGTGACGTAAATACCTCCCACTCCTAAACTTAACTCCATTTTATCTAAGTATTGTAACTTTACACGACAAAATTAAAATATACATGTCTAATATTTTTTGATTATCTAACTGACGGACTAATTAGATTTTTAATTTTCTTACCCTGGAAACTACCATATTAAACGACATACAGACACTTTTGAAACGTCAAAGTAGAATTACCCGTCAGTGAACCGAAGTAATTATTCGTTTTAAAATGTAGAATTATAACATTTTATTATGTAGTAACTATGAAAAAAGGGGTCTGAATACAGCTTTGACTTAAAAAAGGTGGTACTATTGTTTGTTTTAAGTTCTAATTTTAATGAAAACTAAACGTCCCTCAAATTACGCACGCGCGAAACGGTAATGTCACAATTTCCCGCGTAAATGTCCCGCCAAAAACAAAAGCGGCCATTGTTATTTAAACACAGATTATGAAAGTGATTGCGTTCCGTTCCTGGAATTATGACGTACAATAGAGTTTTGAAATAGTTTTGTCTTTTGTAAATAATTGTGTATTTTGTGACGGTGATTGAGTCGAGTGTTGTCTAGTAACTGCAACCAGATACTGAGGGATAGGCAGCATCTTCTAACAGTAGAATAACGAAACAATGTAACCAAGAATATGAATTATAGATGTAGTTAATTGTAGTGTGTAACTAGGTTCCCTCTTTCCTTTATAAAAATTGACTAGATGTATTATTATAAAAAAAAAATTGTATGACAAGGGCACGGACTTGGAGTCCGTGGAGAATTAATCTATAATATTATAAAAAAAAAACCAAGAATATCGTATTGTGAACCTGATTAAAAAAGAGTAACCTATGGAGTTTCTTGATCGTTGTTCTCCATAGGAATATGTATACACCTTGGAATGAGCAACTAGTTTCACTAGAGATTAATTTAATAATTCTCAGTAATACCTTGCCCGACCCGGGAATCGAACCCGAGACCCCTTGCCCGGCAGTCGCACTTGCGACCACTCGGCCAACGAGGCAGTCAGTACATTTTTATTCTTTATACTTTTATGGCGTATTACTTTAAAATTTATAGAAATAAATAAATTACTTTGACCCTGACATTATTACTGAAAGATAGTAAAACCATTAAACTTCTAGACCTAGAATCTTAATTACGTCTTTAAACTATTCATTACACGTGTGACTGTTAGCGCTGAAGGTAGTGCATTCGATATCCTGGTTGGTGAGTAATGTTGGCATTATTCTAACA